CGGCAATTTTCCACCACTGAGCCCCACCGCTTGTTCACCACGTACGGGGATTCGTGCCAGGCGGAAGAGGAGGGCGAAGGTATCATCCCGGCCATGGCCTCCTCCTCATCCCCTGCCTCCGCTCCTCCGTCTTTCCCCCCTCCCCCCCCATTCAGGACCGGGGTCGTGGGCACAAAAGTTTGCTCGCCCGGCGACTTGATGATGTCCAAGTAGTGGCGGATGAGCGTAGCTGCGGGTCGGGTAAGTGCATGACCGAGGGGAGAGAGAAAGAAAGGAGGGAGGGAGGGAGGGAGGGAGGGAGGGAGAGGGAGAGTGAGTAGCGGTCATCCAGGCACCCACCATCCTTACTGCCCGTCGTCATCCCTCCCGCCCTCGCCATGCAAAGCTCTCCTGCTCCCCACACTTGCGGTCCCCTCCCTCCCTGCCCCTCGACGCCATCGCTCACCAATCCCTATTCGAGCTTGCAGGAATCGATCCACTTGAGAGGTGACGATCGGTGTGATAGGGTCCGTGCCTGGGGGCGGGGGGGCGCCCTCCGCCTGCCGCTTATAGCTCTCCTTCAGCCCGTCCATCAATGTCTCTACGACCATGGCCATTCTACCTTCGATTTCGCTCATCAAATGGTTGAAACTCTCAATCACGACGGGCTTCATGTCCTTGCTACCCAAGCAGGCAATGGCATCGTCCAACGCCCACAAGCGTTCGTACACGTCGATGTGAAGGGCAAGCAGGTTGTCCACTCCTTTGCTCGCAGGGAGCACGTGTTGAAGCCTCAATATCTGATGTCCAATGCGAGTGCGAAGCTCGCGGTGCAATTGTTGAATCACAACGCCTTGCAAGGGTAAAAAGCACTGTGCCGTGACGATCAACTGGGAAGGTCGAGAGGGTTTTGCTTGTCGCCGGGCATCGATACCAAGACGACGGCCCAATTCCGCTGAAAACACTACAATGTGTCGACTTTGTTGGCGTGTGAATGGGTAGAGGTTACCGCGTTCCCTGTTCAGGTTATAAATAAGGCAAGGGATTCTGGGCAGTCTGCGAGATGCCTCGAGCTCAGTGGCGAAAAAATGCCCAGAAACGCGCCTTACACTCCCCACGGTATGTACGTACCGACTTAAGCTTGTCGCGTTAAGAGCACGGCTCCCGGTCTCGATAATGGTGCTGTGAGAAGGTCTCCCGTGAAAGAAATTACAAAGCAGCAGCAGGGAAGGGTAGGAGGTCCCGCTACTTGTTGCCGGCCGCCGGCAAAGCCGTAGAGTATTTAGCATGGCAATGTGCTAGCTTTTGTTTGACCTCCACTATATTCGTCTGCTCTTATAGGAAAAATGCAGGGAAACCAGGTGGATGTTGGAATGAATTTTGGTTTTCCATTTGTGACGGATTGCTCGCTTTTTGGCTGCCGTCGCCGGGCTCGGACACACGAGGGGTGGAAACCAAAGGCCAGTGCACTTATAAACAGCCCTGGTGCGAAGGTGACCGCACCCTCTGCTGTTTGTACAGGTCAGATCGCTGCACAAGCACAAGGATATTTACCGGTTGAATTCAACAATGTTATCTGACAAATATACTGTTTGAAGACTGGCTCCAGGGGAGATTTGTCGATGACGCTTGCCGCTGCGTTGATTCGTTGTCATTCGATCGTGCCATAAACATAAAAATGCTCGCAATAAGCGCGAGCATGTGAGCCATTTTCATTTGAATGGTAGCCCTTAAGGATGAACGAAGTCTGAAAGAATTCATTGGGGGGGTTGAAAGAAACATATCTGTCTTTGAATCTGACCATATGCTTTCCCCTTGCTATATTTACTTTATCTCGCTTTGTTTTTTGACAGGGAATTTTCGTCCCTGTCTTCGATATCCATGTATCTATCTTGCACATCCTTTACACGATCCGCGTCAGGTTGTGCTCTGAATGCCAAGCCCGACAGTGTTGACAACAAAGCTGCTTCTCCCTCCCTTCCCACCAGTGCTCTTTCTTCTGCCCCTAAAAGGTATCCATTGCACTTATCCACTACCGCCAGCACTCTTTCGATACAATCGGCATCTTGAATATTCAAGGGATGGAATGCGACCAATGAAAAGTCCTCTATTAGCTCACATAACGCCTCGTTTAGCTTGCGATACCGTCTGGCGAACCTCCCCCCCCCCGACGTTCCTGCTTCCCGTCCGTCTCTTTTTCCCTCACCCCCATCCTCGATAGAGCCTTCCCTAACTTCCTCTTCCCATCCGTTTTCGTCCTCCCTGCCTCCGCCCTCCTCCCCTTCCCGCCCTGGGTCTTTGTAGGTGGATCGTGTCCCCACATAGGGCAAAAGACGTTGCACATCAACCACATCTGTGTAGAAGTTCAAGTCAAAAGCCAAGCGCCCATAGGATTCGACCAAATCTACCTTACTCAAAACGTTGACATGGGGGAGTTCCAGCCGCACCATGGTTGTCAACGAAATGAGCACGGCCGAAATGAACTTGCCGGCATCGCTAAGAAGGGAAGGACAGGGTAGGGGGGGAAAGGAGATGTTTATACCCGCCATTTGCATGTGTCAACCACGATCACACCATTTCAAATCAACGCTACCGGCCCCAGATCGGCGACGCCACCTACCTGCAGTGGTGGGCGTCTACCAGATGCACGGCGGTCAACCGACAGCCCCACTTCTCCAGACGTTGCAACAGACGTTGAACCGCCTCGCCATGCGTGTAGAGCTCGATCTGTTCGGGTGCGCGCCGCGTGCAGAAGGAAAGAGGGTCAAGGTGCAGGACCGTTTGAGCACGTGGAGCCCCGGGCGTAGAGAGAGGGCAGGAAGGGATACCACCGGCGCCCGGGCCCATGGGAGGGGACGATGTATATATATATATATACGATAGTAACCAGGAGTCACGAACGACATGTCATAAAACCTTCATAGCCTGCGTTTGCTCACAATACTACAGGCCCTGAGACCAGCCCCTGCCTGTGTCCAAGAGGCCTCCCTGCTTGACAGCCCCCTCCAGTTTTCCTTCCCAGGTGGGTCAAGCACGCCCCCCTAAACCCCGCATTCTACACGCGGACATTACCACTATTGCCCCGCGCATACCTGTCCGGGGAAATCGAAGAGGACGTAGCGCCGTCCTTGCAAAGCTTCCAGTCGTTCAAGCAGCCAGTCAAAGTTTTGCTCCAAATAATCCATGCAGTACACGAGGCCGCCGTTGGGTCCCAGGTTATGTGTCTCCATGACATCCTGGGTAGTACCAATGAAAGAGACGTTTGAATGGCGAGGGAATATTTGTGCGACATCGACGCCGGAGTGGGAGAGCAGCTTGTGCTCAAAAGTGCGTGGACAGGAAGGGCAGACAGGAAGCGATCGACCAAAGAGAGGGAGAACAGGGGAACAGACCACCCCCCCAAAATAACGATTTTACAGCATACATAAGCCAAAAGCCATGCACATCCTTTCGGCTGTCGTCTAGACCCACATTGCGTTGTGGCATCCCTCTTCAGGGTCCATTCCCAGCACCGGACGGAGGAAGCTTTGCGCTCGATCCCTCTCACCCTTTTCCTGTCCAAGCCTTACCGCCAAATTCACGAGTTCTGAGACGTCTATGTCGACAGGAAAAGGAAGTTTATCGTTGGCAGGGTCCAAGTTGACGACCGCCACAGGTCGACCCCGCGCACTCAGGAAACGGGCTATGCCGTGGCAATACGTTGTCTTCCCAGCACCGGGAGGGCCGATGACAGCTTGTCCAAACCGTGGTCCATGGATGAGACTTCTCTTCATTTGTTTGATATCTTTAGAAAGTTGGTGGAGAAAAGAAGGAATCAGATAAATCACATGGCTGCTTTAAAAACGCAGTACACGCTGCTTCAACCTCCCCTCCTTCTCCGTGCTTCTGACTTAGTGATAGATGAAGGATATTGTTAAAAGAAACATCCAACTCTCTATGTCGCACAGTACAACTCCCAAATTTTACTGTCCGGCTGCCATGCAGTAGAATTCACTCCTACGGGATATTTGTCGCTCTCAAAAGAGGAGAGCCGTCTCGCTCAGAGCAACGGGCACCCGCCGATATTTTCTTTGCGTCATTTTTCTGTCTGAATCAATGTCTCCGTGCGTATACCATAGAAACAGGCAGTCTACCAAAATTAGTATGAAGCGGATGCTGGCACACGTGAGGTACATGATTTCTTGTCGTTTCCTATTGTTTGTCTGTGACAAAATTATTTTGGGAAAGTGAGGTAAACTATCCGATGCACACAACACCCTGCAGAGGAATTTATCAGAGGACTGTACTGTATTGGTTTCAACGATATCGATGAGAATGGTCAGTTTTTGGTCCCCTTTCTTGCCTGGCGTCTTGCTTTAAAGCGCTACGTATCTCCATTTGACCCTGATACACGCCACGGCCTTCCGCCGTACCACATATGCCCAGATATCCCGCCTGCACACCTCGTTTATCGTGTCCTTGCACGTCATTTTCCACGTCTTCTTCTTCACCAGCGCCCGGTTCGGAGGACGCCTATCTTGATGAATGGATGCGCAAGCAAATTAAATCTTTTGCCTTTTACGAGGAGGAGGGTTTGCAACGACGTTATTTTTATACTGTCGATTTGCAGGGGCGGTTATACTTGGAGGAAAGTCCCGTCAAGAATATGACATCTTGTTTGAAGGATGACAAGGTAGGTCGTGGAAAAATGAATTAGAAATGGGGGGGAAAGAGAGCAACAGAAGGAGGAACAGAGAAAAGCGAAGAGCTCATAGACTTTATTCAACTACATCTTCTCCATGCATTAGCAATCCAACGCTCACTCTTCTCTTCAACGGACTTCATCTTCCAATCCCGCCCATTTCTCCAGTTCCTCAATTTCTTTTTCCGGCAAATCCGACGGAACGACACGGGCCTTCATCCCTCCTACCCTTTCGTCTCTCCATGCGGCAAAGAAATGAACTACCTCCTCCCCGCCGACATGCCCGTCGTTTTCCACGACCTGCTCCCTGCCCTGTCGGGCAACGAGAAGTCGGGAGACAGAGGAGATTGTTTGGTCTTCGGGGGGGGGTTGCAACAACGCTTTGACCCAAGCCGGGTGCACTTGTCGAGGCGCTCAGGGCGTCTGTATCATCCCGTGGAGGGAGGGAAGCGAGTGCGGGGACAGCCTGGCTTTGGATTACTGCGTTCACACGTGGCATTCCTTCTGTCAGACGCGTTGCGGGAGGGCGCGGGCGGGAAACTGGCGTTGGAGTGGGAGGGAGGCGGGGAGGCAGAGGGAGGGA